TGTGCAACTGTCATATCTGAAGTGTATCGCGCACGCTTGTCGAAGAAACGTCCGTACTTTCAATCGCGTCATTAATCGCATAAGAACGGGGAATTGCATAAGGATTACGTGCAATAATCTGTCGCGGAAAGGAGAGTTGGAGTTGGTACTGTAAAAGCGCGCAAGTGGAAGTTCGCACACGTGAGACTCGAACGAACACCGAACACTTTCGGACGATGTTGTGAATGGTGGTGCCGAGAAACTGCGAGGTTCGCGTACATCAGACTCGACTTCTCTTTCACGGGACAGAGCGCGACAGGACTCGGCGCTTGATTCACCGAAGATGAGGCGACGGCCGACCGGGTGTCCGCAGCAGCCACCCGTCGCTCGGCACAAAGACGCTCCTGATGACAGTCATTGTACCGCGTCGCCTTAGACCCGGCCTGCCTCGTTCGCGTAAAAAAAGGGACGAGAGCCACTTCTGGGAGCGCGCGAGAAGTCTTTATCGGCGGTCAATAGGACCGCCGGTCCTTCACATGCGCCTCGCATATTACATATAAATCTGCTACGCTCCGGGAAAGGCAGGCACCTGGATCCCCGATGGCCGTCGGGCCCGGAAGTGCCGCGATGGACCTCAGCACTACTCTGAGTAGTGCCTACCGATACAATCAGAACATGATGGAATATTACACCTGTAAGATATCCAGCTCCTTATATTTTAAATATCTCTTATCGCTAATGCAATCCTTTCTTCATTCTCTTTTTTTCTCTGGCTGCTGGAAGCGAGATTAATCACGAATCTGCTAATATCCGATGCATTTCAAACTTGATTATGTTATAATCTTTTAAGATTTATTGATATAATGTTGTTTTATTTAGAGTTCACTTCTTCCGCTATCTCGCCAAGCGACCGATTGATCGCAACATTACATTCGATAGCATCGAGTGTGTGTTCAAGCGTCAGGATTCTATTATTCTAGTTTTCAATTCTAAGCTCACATTAATAACTGTTTGCGTCAAGCGACAACCATGACGGAACGATCTTAATCGCTTCTATAAATGAATCTAACCTTGTGGCTGAGAAGTTTTTCTTTACGGATAGTTTTTTCCGATACTTTCAATCTATCGTTTGTATTCTTTATATTTTATATAAGAAACGCGATTGAGAGCTGCGCATAAATGTAGATGCGATTGTCGATGGATATCGCCAGCCGACGCAAGAAGAACCGCGAAACGCGCGTTTCTGCGTGCAAAACGATCGCACGATTTCTCCTGGAGTTTGCCGTCGATTAAATAGAACAAGCAGGACAGACGGAGAAGAGACGCGAGATCTCCGCGGTGTCGGTGGGTAAACGAGAGTGCGAAAACAAGAAATCCGATGGCCTTCGATCGCTAACCGAGCCGTAGCGGTACCGACACCGACGAAAAACTAAACCGCAATCGTTGCAATTGACGATTTGCGTAGAAGCCGTTTGCGGAGGCCTCTCTTTTCTCCTAAATTTCTAGAGAAACATTGTGCGCATCCGAGATATCGTAGCTTTTATAATAATCCGCTTGCATTTTTCCAGAACTTAAATTTAAACGAATAATCTGTAATTATCTGTAATTCATAATTTAGTATAATTGTAAATTGTTGCTGAATAATTTTTCACGCGAGAGATTATCTGGAACATTACACGGAAATAACAAGTTAGCCAATCCACGGGCTTTTCCGTCCAATTAGCAGTCGGACCATATTAATTAGACGAGTTCGAGTATCGCTTTAAAGTTGCTGCATTCGGAATCACCGCGCGTACCGTTTATGGACATTCGTTAAATCTGACGGAATATAATAATTATGAAGCATTAGCAAGAACGACGGCGACGATCATCGGTCGTGTCGGATTATATCGTAAAATCGATTTGTAGAGAATCTTAAATGTTTTTACAACATTAAAACTTTAGAAGCACTGGAATTTTTCTCTATCGCAATACGTTATCTCACTATTATTCGTTAAATAGCTTATATATTGCCACTAAACAGCTCGACAAAATCTTTATTATCATTAATGACATTAGTGGAACGTTCACACGTTTCGCAATTACCGATATGACCGATCTGAATACGAGAGCGATCCCATAAAATTTCCAAGTAACGCACGCCGTATCGACGAATTGCATTTCTGCGCGTATTTTTCTAGCCATCGAGTAATAAAGTCCGTCGTATTCGGGCGTATCGGCAATACGTAACGCCGAGGCGTAATGTAATACGGGAACAAAGCAGCGCGATGTTGGAGAAATATCGAGTGACTGTACGGGAATCTATATCAAAGTTCTTGGCTTCCGACATATATACACACATGCACTGAGAGCCGCCGATCGTGTATCACCGGGCCTCATTTTATTGGCTCTGGAAACTCTTCTGGACCGGTCGCTTCATTCTGCGAGCGTAGAAAAGTGGAGCAGGGGAAACCGTACAAGTTGCACATGTGTGATCGAGGGATTTTTTAACAAATAAAATTCTCAGATCTCGCAATACACATTCGGATTAATCCTGCATATTTTTGCAGTTACGATTATCGCCTGCCTGTGTAATATCTTAATATCAAGAACGTGTAAATATTCGCATAAATATGCCGTGCGTCATAAATATCTTAAGGAATTAGCTTTGATGAGATCTGATGAGAGATAACGGAAACCGGATCAACATCTCATTTCGCGATCATCTCAGATCGCGACGAGATTTCAAGGATATCGTTAACGTGGCAGTGGCCATTGCGACGCGGCATGTTCGTAATGAAAATATAATAGCGACTCGGCCGATGGGAATCGCGTTCGTCCGGAAGTAGTCCGCAGCAGCTCGGCGCTCAGCCAGGTCGCTTTATTTTGCATCCAAGTTTTTATACCGGCGGCTCGAATCGCGATTGATTGGGAATCGCTATCGGCTTTCTCCGATTGCCCGTCGAAATGGTGATAAAACCGATTTTATCGAGTCACGAACTTCGATATAATTCGACGAAATTGCATGCTGATTGATGATCGTGAGCGCATCGTATCAAATGGCGCTTTCATGGAATATATTTCTATTAAAACACACTGTGCAAATCAGAAAGATAAAACCGAGAATAAAATAAACATCATTGATTTTATTTTGCCTGAGCACAATCGACTTGTCGGGTCTTTTTATTCCATTTATTCCGATTTTTACTCCACGATACTTTCTGCAAAATAAAATCCCGCATTTCTTGATACGATATTCTCGCTGCGGGAAAAGTTGCAGCGCGTAAAGGCAATAATAGGAACACTATGCAGGATTAGTCGGAACACTGCGACGTCTCTTGATTCGACGTATCACAGAAGTGCGGAACGGAGCGGCGGCAATAAGCTCCGGCGACACGGCGGCCAGTTTGCAGCGACGGCAGCGAAATCCGTAGTAGCGAGCGGTGGCGGTGGCGGTGGCCAGTCGATTCGGGGGTGGTCCAGGCCGGACCCAGAGCCCTCGTATAGCTGTGGTCAGCAGGCGTGACGGCGTGTGTGCGCGCGTGTAGGGTAGTCATGGTGCTTTCGCCCTGGCAATGCCACCATGATCCCGACGACTATCCCCCTGACTACCGGCCGCGCCGCGGGGGATGCGACCATAAACGCGAGAGCGAATTGATTTGCGACCGGAAAGCGCGTATCGTTTCCAGTAATGATCGCGGAGACCTCATTGTCTTCGTGCGACGGCAGCGAGATCATCGGGTGAGCGACGCGATATACGGTCGAACGGTCGAAAAAAAACGTCGCGGTTCACGCCTCATAGATCTCACGGTGTTATCGTAATTACGAAAGCCCCCTTCGAATGGAAACGTGCGCACGACGACGGCGGCGATGCCGCTCGTTACTGCTCGTTTGATTCATTTCTTTGAATTAGCTGCACATTAAATCATAAATGCAAATGTAAATATTTGGAAAAGACACTGCAATATTTGCTTCACTTTAGTATCTTGTAAAAATAATTGCAATATTTAACTCAATTAGCGTTAGGAATTTTATATTCCGATCTCGTGCAACTGCACTTATCTTGATGTGTTTGTCGGAACAAGTGTCGAAGAGGGAGAAAATATTCGACATAAGAGCAACAGTGGCCGACTTAACTCATCGTCGCCGAGGGGTCGTCGAAAACAACGATGATCATCGAATCATCGGTGCAGTGGCACGAACAGAGAGACATATGTCGCGACGCAGAACCCTCCATTACGATATTGGCTGCAACTTATCGCGTTAGGCGGCTTTAATGCGCGAAAATGAAGCCTGCGAACGCGGCGCCGTGGAGCAGACTCGAGTGGCAGCGGGGGGTAAATTAATAATAATGAATGCTCTCGCACAACATTGACCCTGGAACTCGTTTCTCGATGCCGCGAAAATGATCAACCGACTGAAATATTAAAGTGCACGCGGCGCATCCCGCCTGCGCGCTTTATTACGTCATTATCATTATTACGACGCGTCATAAATCTATGCGTAATTTCCCAAATCAATTGGGATTAATTCGGAACGGATGCAAAGGTATAACACAACGAATCATTACTTTTAAAATCAATAAAGCGTGAGAGACAAGTCGCTCTCTCGGTAGAAAGTTCCCGCCGGCGAACGGTACAGCATTCTTCCACGGAATCTGTCAAGTGGAATGATTCCGCGGCGATAGACCGCTTCGAGAGGAGATTTACATTGGCGTTCGCGATCCGTTCTGCCGGCTTCCCTTAACGATTGTGAATCTAGCGCGCGCGTGAAACCCGATTCGCACTCAAATCGCGCTTAACGCCGTGATTTCACGGCAGATTGTTCACGGCACGATTGACACGTCGACCTTTCAAATCCGGCATTAACGCCGTTCAAAATCGACGAAAGTGTATACAAATGCCATTTGTATACACTTTTCTTCGTATATTCATACATTGTACATTTCTTCGGAGTTTAATCAGTGAAAATTGCAATTTATTGTCGGATTTAAGTTGCCGAGATCTACTCGACTAATGCGTTATCGATCTTCGTTTTTCCAGGTCACGGCGGAGTCAACCAGCTCGGTGGCGTCTTTGTGAACGGAAGGCCCCTACCGGATGTAGTCAGGCAGAGGATCGTTGAGCTCGCGCACAGCGGCGTCCGACCATGCGACATTTCGAGACAACTCAGGGTATCTCACGGCTGTGTATCCAAGATACTGTCGAGGTGAGTACCGACACACGTATCCGTTACAACCGCAGTCTCCCGTCGAACACACCTCGGTCCGACGGCGGCGCGCAAGATGGGATCGTTAATGCAAACGCGCCAAGTTCTCGAGAAAATCAGGTCTCAAGATTAAATATTATCTTATTTGTCGAAAAAGGCAACCTATTTTGTCGGCACAACCGAATAAGTATATTCTGCGGCGAATTAACCGAAAGACATCCGAGACATAATCGTTCCGAAAATCGCATTTGCCAAGTCGAGAGAGCGGATAACGAGGCAAACAACGTCGTCGAAGGGCCAGTGATTTACGAGAGGAAATCGAGTTTGTCTTGCCAAACGCAACACCGCAATTTCCGCGTCGCGGAGTGGCCAAGGTCGTTGGAATCGCGGGCGGAAACAGGAAGAGGCAAAAAACGGGAGAAGAGACCGCTCTCGTCGAAGTGATTTAATTAAAGACGCTGTTAGGACCGCGCGAGGCAAACGAACCCGAAGAGAGAGAAGGCGCGACGGGGGGACGACGAAGCCGGAAGGAAGGAACCGGCCCCCTCGCTCTCGCGACGCGGGGTTGCCCGGACGATATGCGGTTTCCATGTTTTTTCCACCCTCCGACCCCCCTCGCCCCGCGCCGCTACATAACGGGTGGCCTCGTGCCGCTTTGATGGGCGAATGTCATTCCCGTCCCCCGCGCCGGCCGAATATCATTGTCATATACGCGCTCTTTCACGAATCACGCATAATAAAGGACGGGAGTTATTTACCGCCGCGCGGCTAAAGTTACCGTTTCCTCTTCCTTTCGCCGGCTCGGACCCTCTTTTCGACGGCGATCGAATCGGAGAAACGAGACTTTGTCATTAGCAGTGCGCGCGTGATGCGATCCGTCGCTCAGATTTCGCCGGCGCGTCAAAATATTGGAGATTAAATTTAAACCTTTTCGGGGACTCTCCCGGCACTGCGGGATCCGGAAGTTATGTCACAAAGAATCGGGGAGCAGTGCAACTTTGTTAACAGCCCGACAGCGCGAACGACGCGAGCGTCTGTGTTTTACGCGTTGCTAAATTTAGACGCGGACTCCTCGACGCTCGTGCTCAAGCTAAGTACAAAGTTCTTCCGCGTCGTGTATGTGGCATGCGATTTTATGGCTCGAAAGTACGGCGAAAACGGCCTTAGGGCCGCTCGACGACGTTGTTAGCGGCGACGCGCGGTTTACGCAGTCACGCGTCACTGATACGACGAGGACGCCGCGACGGCCGATTCGCCGAATCTAAATACAGCGAGACCGGATACCAGTTTTTCAGCCGAAGCGAGGGTTCGTAAAATCGTCGACGAAGCCGGCGTTGAAAAGCCCGACACCGAGGTGACCCCACGAAATCGAGTCCATCCCCCCGTTTGCCCGGAAAACCTTTTCTCGGCCGTCGCCGCGGAGAGACACAAAGTGCTCTTCTTCTTCTTTAGGGTCGCGAAGGAAGAAACGCGAGAGGATCGTCGTCGTCGTCGTCGTTTCATCGTTCTTTGTGTCACGTTTGCGAGCCCGCTTGTGTATTCTGGACACACCGCGGATTCCGGGGACCGCGCAAAGCGTTGTGACTCGATTCCCGCGAAACGTAGCGACGCATCTTCGCTCGTTCACATTGTACATTGCCAATGTTCGATTTGTAACTCAATTAGCGATCGAATATAACGCAATTTCCGCAATGTGTTTTATGATTGTAGGCGTGTTCCTCGATTTAACGCTGCGCCTTTTAGCGTGACGTTTAATGTGAAAATCGGCACAAGGCAGCGCGGCCTCGTAACGATGGGCGTAAATAATGCCATTTTTCCACGGAGGTGGCGTTTTCGATTTCGCGCAAGACTGTTTCGAATCCATTTAAATCGGAATTAATGCGGCAAGGGTGAGTAACGCATCGGCGACGGCAAGGTCGGGTCTGAAAAATCGCGCGATCTAATAGCCATTTCACGGTGGAGGCGGAACAAAGGGGACGACGTATCAACGGGTGAGCATTGCCATGTGGGCCTGCAATGGGGCTTCACACCAGATATGATCGTAATAATTTCGCGGGGATGGCGTAACCCAGGCCTGTTTATGAGCGCCCGATCGTGTAATGCTTTTAGGCACAGGTTCACGATCGACCGTTTTATTCCGACGATCGTATAATAAAATAGTGCTAAATAGATTAATACAATGTCGAAGGCAATTTCAGAAAATGGTAGATTTTTTACCGGGAGATACAATTCGTGCCGCAATAATAGAAACATGTTACAATTTTAGAACTTTCATTCCTCCGCCACAATCAATATTCATATAAAGAATCAGTGTCGCAAACGAATATAATTCGACTCAGCAATCCGAGCTCCATTTTTCCTGTGACACGCAACGCAAAAAACCTGTTACGATGCTTTTATTCGCGCAAATATTTTTCACCGAAAAACGCGAAGGTCTAATACTGGAGTGCGCGTACATGTTCCGCACAGACACACACGCGGCACATCTCTACGCAGGGACACACGTACGTGAAATTGACTAAATATCCAGTGTGTATGAGTCGACGCCGATGCCGACGCCGACGCTGGCGGCGGCGGCGGACCCACATCCATCAAGGCGGCCCACAAGCGGACCATTATTGCGGGCTATCCGGCGTAATTGAATTTAAGCACGAGCGAAGATATTATTTAACTAATTAAGCACAAAGGGCGCGTTCACGGCGAGCCAATCGCGATCGCCCATCTCGCGCGCGTTGCATACGCGCCCCGCCGATGGGAGGCCCGGGAGAAGAGTGCGCGAGCGAGAGGGAGCGAGGAGAGGTCCGAAGGGCAGAGAGAAAGAGAGAGAGAAAGAGAGAAAGGGAGGTAACAGCGGGAGGCCAGAAGCCGTTTGTTTTAAAACAGCCGGTCGTTGACGCGCCGCTGGACGGCGATTCGTTATTCCGACGTTGGCCGCCCACCGCGGGAAAAACGTCCGTTCCTCTCTCTTTTTCCCCTCTTCCTCGCCCGTGTTCCGTGATAGTGCGAAAGAGAGAAAGAGAAGGAGAGGCGAATTTGGCGAACTTTGGCGACCGACCTCTTGTCGGCGACCGCGCTTTCGAGTGTAGTTTAAAGAGCCGATCGAAGAGCCTTTCTTCCGCGTTCTTTTTCACCAGAATTGATTATAATGTTATGTGAATTTCTTGATTTAACAGGTATTATGAGACCGGGAGCTTCAAGGCTGGTGTCATAGGCGGCTCCAAGCCGAAGGTGGCAACGCCGCCGGTCGTCGAGGCGATCGCCAATTACAAGAGAGACAATCCGACGATGTTCGCGTGGGAGATCCGGGACAGATTACTGTCCGAAGGCATTTGCTCGCAAGACAACGTGCCATCCGTCTCCTCTATCAATCGGTAAGTCGACGTTTCGTTCACAAAATTATCCCCGCGCAATTTAAAGCAATCCGCGTCTTATCGAGAAATGTAACCGCGTTCTCGCTAATCGCCGACCGAAGGCGGACAAATAGCGTCGTTCCCGATGATTACTCGACGAATCGCGACATATGCTCCGTCCAATCGTCCGGCGATCGGTTATCGCGCGAACTCGCGTGCACCCTCGCGCGTGCATCGAGATAAGTGCGCACCCGGTCCGGTCACCCCGATCCCATTGACCTTTCGCAGGTTCCTTCGGGACTCGGGCCGATTAATTCAAGTGTTTTTGCGTTGGCGAGCAACGGAACACGAGTACAATGTTGAGGGGAGGGAGAGCAGACCGCCCTTACGAGGGCGACGGGGAGCGAATTCCCGCGGGACGGCATTACAGCGTATCAGCACCGCGCAAACTGAACGACTCGGTCCCCTTTCGGGCCAACAGAGAGGCTACAAAAGTACACACAGCGGGAAGAGGAATGCGCGGGTAGAAAGGGCGGGCAGAAGAGATCGGGAGAAGGAGACACCGGGGTACCCATTGATTGGGGCTCGCATATGTCCCGAGATTTAATCAGTCGCTACTTAAGACCTTATCTCCCGCCCGTTTCACAAGGGCCGCCGCCGGTCCGCTCTCCTTCTCTCTCACTCGCCGAGTCTCAATCTCGCGTCTCACCCACACACGCAGCCGCTAATGAAATGGAGCGTAATGCGAATCGAATTGCCAGCAAGTGAAATCCACTAACGCGATTTCCGCGGGCCGCAGCCGCTAATGGAAACGCACGCAAATGAGTTAGCACCCACGTAACGACGTAAGTGCGCGGCCGCTTATTTAAATTCCGCGGCGCGGTCGCGCGCGAGGGATCAGGTCGGTCAAGATTGGGCGCGCGATTTATTCTTTTCCAAGGATTTTTGCTGCTGAGAAAATTCCTTCAGCCGTCAAATAGCAATTCTCAATTTCTGTAATCAATTTTTTTTATCCGTGATAATTCTTTTTTATTTATTTTTTTTTCTTATACGTCACACATTTTTCTTCGCATATGATAATTAGAGCTCAACCTGCATAAAGTAATTATTGCATCACTAGAGAGAGTTTTAATAAACTCGCATAACTGCGAGTTACTCAAATGGAAAGCAATCAACGCTTCACCGTCGCATTCTCCAATCGTCCTTTCGTCGGAATCGCTCTCCTTTTTTTTTCCCGCGATTATAAGAGGTACTCCCGCGCGTACTTCCACTCCTACGCTGCGCGCGCGTCGCGCGGTCACGGTAGCGTGAAACGCGGGCGTATGTAGGTACAGGAATTACTTTCTGGCCGAGGTTTTCGATGTGTCTAGGATTGCAGTCGAGGGTGCGGGCGGTGGCTTGTTGCTCGAGTGACTCCTCCACCTCCGGCCCCACCTCCGGCACACGCTCTCTCGTCTCCTCCTGACTCCGCGCTCCCTCTCGCTTCCGCCGCCACCCTTCTCGGCCACTCGGTCTTCCTCTCTCGCCGCCGCGACTCCTTTTCCTCCGCGTCCCCGTCTTCCCCCCGCGACCCGGGGCCCAGATGGCGGGTATTGATCTGAATCCGGAGAGCAGATCGCCTGGAAAAACTTACCCCGCGGATACTTACCTTACCTACCTACCAACCTATCTACCCACCTCGCTCCGCTATCTACATGCACCTATCCAACGTACCATCACCCACTCACGTACGGCGCCCGCAACCTTCCTTCCGCCCTATCCATTCGGCGCGGGTAAGTGCATTTCCGTTTCGGCGACTTGCGGAGAGAAACTCGCGCGGCGTGTCCCCTCGGAAAATAGCCGCGCGCTCGGCGCGTACGCGTTAATTCGGCAACGATTGATAAAGAGACGGATTCTTAATGACTATATTTCGCAAAGCGTTGATGCGGAAAGCATGATGGTTCCAGTCCGATACGGACAGACGCGGAATTCATCGGAATGACAATGCGTTTCGGAGAGAAGAAAGTAAGAACGGCATGACGGCGCAGAGATTGACGCTTTACAGCTTTATTTCGTACGAGTGTTTCTCGCAAACAACACGGCGATTCTTAAACAATCATAGGCAATTGGTGAAGTGAGAGAGAGAGAGAGAGAGAGAGAGAGAGGAGGAGGAGAGAGAGAGAGAAG